TCCTGGGCTCCTTTGTGTCTCCTTCATGATCCGTTCCCCAAAACTGGTGGCACAGGGGCTGGGAAGGGGGAGCAGTGTGGGCACAGGGCTACTGAGGGATGCCAGCCCCCTGGGAGGCTCCCTCATCCCTGTGGACCCAGAAGCAAGTCTGGGCTAGAAGCCCACACTGTGGCTTGCAATGCCCAAGAACCACCTCGTGTGGCCCACATGTGGTCCTGCTATGGGCAGATCCAAACCAGATGTTGGCACTTGCTTTTACTCAAACCCTCCCAACTGTTTTCTCCTTCCAGAACCGGATGAACATGACATATGAGAAGATGTCACGAGCACTCAGACATTACTACAAACTCAACATCATCAAAAAGGAGCCAGGGCAGAAGCTCTTGTTCAGGTGAGATGAAGGAGAGCAGTGAAACGAGCTGCTGGGGATGCTGCAGATGTGGCACAGGAAGGTAGTGGGCTCCAGATGTTGGCAGCTGCTTCATCCAGCAAGTTTTTCCTGTACAAATGCAACACCCTGGTGGGTTTGTGTCCAGGCTCTGGCCTGTGCAAGCCAGGAGCTGGGCTCTGGGCCCCATCTGATCTACACTCTGGGGCTGTGGGCCAGCAACGTGCCCTGGGGCCACCATCCATCCACTCTCCTGCATGGAGTCCAGCTGGTGCTGGGGGAAAATACCCCTGAGCCCCCCCAAGCTGGACAGGTCCCTCCTGTTCCCCCATGACACCATGTCTGCAGTCTACCTCCACATAGAGGAAGGGGTGGAAAGAAGTCAGGAGCCTCCTGTTTTCAGTCCTGGCTGCTTCCCTGGGACTAGTTTGGACTTAAAATGACAGCTGATGAATGGTGAGCTTTGTCTCCCCAGGCTGGGTTCATCCTGAGTGCAAAGCAAGAGCTGGGATGCTCACAGGGATGGCAGATACCCTCTGGCAAGCTCCAGAGCTCAGCTGATGAGGGCAAGGGCTCCAGCATTTACACCCTGGTTTGCACATGCCCTTAAAGCCATTTCAAAATGTGCCACAGGTTTTTGAAAACTCCAGGGGAGATCATCCATGAGAAATCCAGCAAACTGGAGCAGCTGGAGAATGAGGACCATGAAGATCTGAAGGAAGACCCACTGGAGGTTTCTCCATAGGGATCTGTGAAGGTGGCACTTGCAGTGCCTTGCAGACAGGCTTGTGCTCCTCTGGGAAGTGCTGGCCTCTTGTGCATCTCCTGAACAGAAGGCTACAGAGCTGGTCCTGGATTTCAAAACCTGTCCTGAGCCAAAACTGTGACATCTCTGGGGCTTCATTAGCAAAACATACCCAGAAACTGTTCCCAAGCCCTGAATGTGCAGGTGAACGTGTGGGGCTGGTCTTTGCTTGCTTCTCTTCTGTCCTTGGGGAGGGAACGTGCTGGTTTTGCTCTGTCAATTTTGATGCTTGTCTTTAAGGTTTGGCCTTGCTGGTGAAGACAGCTCGGTTCTTGCAGCAGGATGTGCTGAGCAGAGGGGATTGGAGCACGTGCTCCAGCTCCAGCATCTCCCCAAGTGCTGCTGCAAGGAGTGGGGGCCCTAAGCATGAACATGCTGCTCTCAGTCTGAGCCACTGCTTGATTTGAGAAGGGAGCTACACTGCAGAGCTGCTGTCACCTCCATTCCTCATCGTGGGGCTGCTCCTCAGATTTGAGCTGGGAGTGGGCTGAAGGAGCTGCCTGGAGCTCCAGCCTGCATGGATGCTCTAAGCTGGGTCATCTTAACTCCTTTCCCTCCACGCGGGGCTTTTTGTGATTAGCCAACAAAATAATGTGAAAAGAAACAAAGCCAGTGATGAATGTGACCACACTCATCCTCAGACGTGTGGTTATTTGCTCTGAGCTTCAAGCAGGACCACCTGCAACAACACCCAGGCACTGTCAGTGCCCTGGGAGGAGCAATGTGTGTGTGTGTGGGTTTAAATCCCCAAACATCCAGTAATGTTTTCAGATTGTTTCACTGAGGAAATAAAATCCCATGACTGTGTAAGGCTGAAAATCCCACCTCTTGCTGGTTGAAGGTCTGAAATCTAAGCTCTCCTCAAACCAGCACCCAGCTCTTGTCCCCAAGCCTGGCAGAGTGCAGCAGCCCCAGCTGATGGGTGACATTTGGGAGCAGGTTGGGAAGCAGCAGCGTCATGTTTCGAGGTGAAGAACCACAGTCCAGGTGCCCAGTGCTGGGGGCTCCATGATCTGATCCCCAGGTTTCCCAAAGCAGAGTCTCAGGCATTGAATCTCACTGAAATAAGTCATTTAAGGGACTAGTACAACAGCAGGGTCAGCTTGAGCTGGGTGCCTGCAGAACAAGGAAACTCCTGGGTGATTATATCCTTGCAGACCATGGATCTGCCCTTCACATGCCCTTTGGGCCAGGGGTTCTAGTTTCTTGTGTAGGAGCAACCCTTTTCCACACAAACTGCCTGTTTAACTCGTATGAGTCTGGTGGATTTTGTTGCTTCCCTGCCCAGGAGATTTTGGCTTAATTCCCCTCTTGGGTTGGACATGATGAAATGGTTTGACCCTGGGATCTTAAAGGTCTTTGCCAACCTAAACTATTCCATGGTTCTGGCCTGAGATCCTCTGACACCTCCTGACTTCTTTTTGGGTTCCTTGACTGTCTCCAGGCTGTTGCAGCTGCCATTGTCCCCTGTACCCTCCTTCAGCTCTCTGCTGGCTCTGGAGGCCTCGTGTTGCTCGAGTAGATCCAAGCTGAGCCAATCTAGGTGAAGGTTTATAGGTCACAGCCTGAGGCTTCAGTAAATCCAGCTACTCATGCTAAGCAAAGCTAAGCAAACAGCAAACTAACTCACACATCACAACTCAAGTGATTCACTCTATTTAAACTGGACTTATTTAAGCTAAACAACTAATATCTCCTAACATTAGCTCTTGATATCTCCTGTGGTGTTGCATGGCTGGTAGGAAGAGGTGAGTTCTTTCCAGCCTTGATTTTACACCACTGGAGAACTTATCCTCCTGTTGTGCTCTGGACCCTCTCCCAAGCCCACGCTGCCATCTCAGAACCATTTTTGGGGCAGCCCTTCTGGGAAGGGATCTGGGAACTGTCAGTCTTGTGAAAAACTCTGGCAAGGGTTGGCAGCTGAGGTTTCTACCCAAATTGGTTGTTGCCAACGTGAAGCTACGGCCCCTTTTGCTGTAATTGATGTTGTTCCTCCAAAACTGCTTCCCATCCATGAACTGGAGCCTGGAGATGCTGGTGGGCTGTAGCCAGCTGGTGGGACACAGGGTGGCTGGTTGGCAAAACATCAGCAGAAGGACATCTCTGGAAATGGTGGCTGTGAAGTTTCACTTCCAGGAGAAATCACCAGCTCGTTGGCCAAACAGAAGTGCTTGGAAGTCAAGTGATGGGGGAGGAGGAAATGAGAAGCTCTGATGGGGTAAATGAGCACAGCATCACAGCCTTTGGGGGTTCCTGGGTGGGAAGGGAGGCCAAAATCTCTGCTAAGAGAGGGAGCTGGAGGTTGCCCAGCACCCAGCCAAGCTGTAGCCTGGATGCACCATGCCAGGAAGGTGAAGTGAAGCACCCAGACCTCATCCTTCCTTCCCCAAAGGGCGCTTTGTGTTTCAGAAGAGACTAAAGCCAGGTCTTTCTTGGGGTGAAATCAAGGAGAAGGTCAGTCCAGGTCCTGCCCAACCCTGAGGGACAGCTTTGGTGGGAACGCAGACCTCCTTTCCAGGAACTGTCCCATCCTGGCCCTGCATTGCTCTCGAGATAGACACCCATGGGTGCCTTTCTCCTGAAAAGACATCCCCCTGCTTCATGGCTTGAAACAGCCCCGGTGACTCCTGAGCACCCACCCCTTCTCCAGCCTGCATGGTTTGTTTAGGTGGTGCAGGGGACAGCTGGTGACCCCTGTGCTCACGGGCAGTGTGTGAGGAGATCTCTCTTCACCTGCTTTCCCTTTGGTGACTGAAGATCCTGGTGACCTGGACGGGGATTTCCTCTCCTGGCTGGGAAGCTGCCAAAGCACCCAACCACACTGGGCCGTGCGGGGGGATCTCGGAGGGTGAGGACCAAAGGGCACCTTTGCAGGGCTGGGCTGCAGTGCTGAGCTCTTCCCAGGCCTCCAGGAAGCCCTCGTGCCCTTCCCCAAGTGATGGGTCTCTGTTCCATGCAGTCAATGGAGGTGGGGGGGCTGTAAAACTGTGCCCAGCACCCCCTTGGACCAGAGGCCCCACACAACCAGGGGGAGAGGTTTCTGCTGAAGTCACATGTTGGCCATGCCATCTGTCCAAGCTGTGGCTGGTGGCTGCCCTCAACACCCCTGTCCTGCTTCACATCTGAAGCTGCAGATATTTTGGTACCCAGGTGGCTGGTGGTGGCTTGGAGGGACCTTTGTGGTCCACTGAAAACACCGTTGGGTTGGCGGTGGCTTTGGCTAGCCAAACCTTGAAGACCTCCAGGGGTGGTGATCCCCAGTGCTTCTAGACACCCATTTGAGGTTGTCCCACCCTCCCACAGAGGAGGCTTTTTATGATGTCCAACCTCAGCCCGTGGCCTGTCTTATTCCCAAGGAATTAGGATGACTTGACTCCTGCCTTCTCCTGAACCTGTTGTAGCCCTCCACACCTTGCAGCTCCGTGGGAGGAACACCTTTCCCCTCTTGTTTTCCAGTTTCTGGGGCAAGTTTCAGTAAATAAGCCACTGAGCCCCAGTCACATGCTCATGCTTTTAGTTCTGCTTTTCCTTCAACATTGCTGGCCTGGAGATACCAACCCCAGCATCGGGTGCTCCCTCCACGTGACCACGTTTCCAACCAACTTCCTCATTCTCTCCCAGTGCTGATAAGAAAAGCAGGCAAATTTGGTTGCAGATCTCTTCCCCCAGCTTCAGTAATGGGCTTTTTGTTTGTCTCAGGTCTCTTGCAAACTTCTTTTTCTTATGTCTCTCTCCCATTAGGTTTGAGCGTGTCCCAAATCCCAGAAGGAAACTGAACTTGGATAAAGGTCTGGATCCGAAATCACAATTCAGGTAAAGATTTTTCCAGGAGTCACTTTGGGTCTCCCATCTTTGGCTGTGTCCAGAAATGGTACAACAGAGAGGACAAGTCCTGCACGAGGCCACAAATCAACACTGATTCCCAGTTTAATCTATGATCAGGGACAGAGTTTGGATGATCTCCAGTTGCAAGATCAAACAGGAGATGACCAAACTGTGCCCCGTTGCTGGAGTGAAAGTGGATTTTCATTTTATGGATGTTGCAGAGCCAAAAAAAAACAACCCCAAAACTGATTGTGAAACTCCTCACCCACTGGAATCGACCCACTTATGAAAGGATGTGGTCATGAGCTCATTAGCAGCATGGAGCTGCTTGTTATGGTTTAATTATTGATCAGAAGAGGATGAAGATGCTGAAAAACAAAGCTGGGTAATTCCTAATCAATACTAGACTCTGATTCATCGGCGTAAGCTCAGGGAAAAAGGAGGGAAATGGATCTGTCCTAGTTAGAGGAAATTGTGATATAGAAATGATAATAAAAAAACAGGAAAGAAAATAATAGATGGAGCTGCTTGTTATGGTTTAATTATTGATCAGAAGAGGATGAAGATGCTGAAAAACAAAGCTGGGTAATTCCTAATCAATACTAGACTCTGATTCATCGGCGTAAGCTCAGGGAAAAAGGAGGGAAATGGATCTGTCCTAGTTAGAGGAAATTGTGATATAGAAATGATAATAAAAAAACAGGAAAGAAAATAATAGAAAAAAAAAAAAAAGAAAGAAAATCATGGAAGCTGATAGACCATTTTACCCAGGAAGGACCTGGGCAGCACGTTGTCCCAGCTGAAACCCAGAGAAGGTGCAGCACTGCCCAGGGGAAGCCCCACATCCAGCCCGTCCCTGCAAGGTGCAGTGCGAGCTCTTGCCATGAGATGGCAAAGTGGCGATGAGGATGGTGGGCAGCAGCGCCGGAGGGTGCCACGGGCACAGGCTGCGGGGCCAGGCGGAGCTCGGGTGGAAGGAGCTTTGTCTGGCACA